AGAGGATGTATGGAGTATCTTTATACGAAAAATATTGTTTTTTTATATATTCAGTAATATTTGTATTTTAATCTATATTTCCGTTCAACTCTGGTTGTTGAATTAATATCCTCCATTATTATATGAGATTGAATGAACAGAGGGGAAGTTTTGTCTTCCTTATTTATTTTTACCAAATAAAAGAATAAGTGTTCGAGACTGTGAGAGAGTAGATCATTACATAATCTTGAATTTTACAATGTTGATGTATAAAACGTATATTGTAAGCATGATATACTTTTTAGCACTTATTGATGACATCTTTATATCTTCATTTTATGTTGATGTTAATAAATATTTGCTTTTCAACTAGTCAGTGCAACCAATCAGCTGATCCAAAAACAAACTCGAAATGGACCTGAAAGGCTGAAATCATGTTGTCGTCGTATGAAACCGTTGGAAATAATTTAAGCTTTTATATTACAATGTGTATACGTATAAATATTATCACATTTGATTTGAAAAAAAGAAAATTACCGTAATAAATAACATATTTAAATTTTTATCAAATCGAATATTAAACACATTTTGGTTGAATATCCTATACCATAAAATATGAGAGTGGAGATGTCGACCACTTATGCACTCAATAGACATTATCGCATACATAATAAAACGAGAGAACGGCTGTTCTAGTGCAGCGCTTGTACAGTACTTGCATAGCGGCAATTATTTCATTCCGAATGGATAACCGATAAGAATGATGTCGAAAGAATTCTCCATTAATTTTTAAAGAAGATTGTATTGTGACGTAAGTACTTGCATTTAAGTGCAAATGCCAAGGGGCGAAATGGAAGACTTGAAGCAAAAATGGGGATGAACGTTATTCATAATCAAAATAAAATCAATAATTGGGTTAGGTGTTCAATTCATTCAATCGCTTAGGATGAATAATAATGAAAGAAAAAATAATACCACAGTCTTCGCCTCTGTTATCATCGGGAGATTATAGAGTCTTATGGAGATTACTTTAAAATGTCAGGTCGGCATTATAATCACATTTTTAGAAAGTACAACTTTCTCATAAATGATTCAACCGTATTTTATAAATTATAAGCAGTTCTATGAACAAATTATATATTTTTGCACTTTTTAATAACATTACATTTTGATTTGCCATGTTTGTGATTCTTTTTTATTAAATTATATTCTATTACTTTTGACTGATATTTCCTATATGAAGTGGATAAGAGTTTTGAATTAATGTCAATATACTCTTCCTTGTCATTATTTATTAGGTCACTAGTTCCAACTGTTTCCAAGTAACTGGTTCAAACTTGTTCTAACTAGGAGAAGGATTCTCATGCCTTTTTTTTTATCAATCAGTAATTTTGAACGATTTGGATGTCACAAAATATCGTACTGTAACGTAATCTTTGTTATCGAAAGCTTTCGTTGATAACTTTGGAACGTTTCATATCAGACTTATCTGTGTATAGCTAACTAAAAAACATATTGACTAGTTTCTCGTACCCCCGCAATCCTCTTTTGTTATTTGATATTTTCTTTGCGAAAGGAAAACCAGTAATAATGTGAGGTCATGTAATAACAAAGATAATTGAAATAGAGTTATTCCATCTTAGTACAGTTACAAATTAAATGCAATTCATGAATAGGCATATGTGTCAAAATTTACCTACTTCGAATTTGTTTATTCAAGAAAAATATCAAGGATATAATATAAAATCCCTCCTCCTTATTTTCGAAATCATGTGAAAAACTAAAGAGTAAATTTTACTTGTCCCAACTCCTCACGAGTCTTGAATGGACTTTTATATATCGACTAAAAAATAAAGCTATAAAAATAGTAAATAGTCCGTTTGGTTAGGTTGAATTTAAAGGTGGAAACGATGTCCCAAATTATAGATTCTGTCGATCGGAACGCTCAGTTTGGTAGATTGATGCTATAATTGATATTATTGATTTACATGTCAAAAATTCGGGGAGAGATGAAAGAGAGAAAACGCTCTCTGCGTATTGATGACGTCAATGTCTTTTGAAGCACTTCTTTGTATATCTAGTTTGTCGATAACTCATTATCGCATAGTGTGGGATATTAATGAAAAGTGTGGTATGTCATAGATTGGGATATAGAATACAAGTGACATGCAGAGAGAGAGAGAGGAATTGGAGATGTATAGCAAAGAGGATGGGAGTGGGAGAGAGGAAGAGAGAGAGACAGAGAGATAAACAGAGAGATATAGAGTTAGAGGGGACAAAAAGAGACACTAGGAGAGAGAGAGAGAGAGAGAGAGAGAGAGAGGGGAGAGGGGGAGGAGAGATATGCAGAACAACTAGAAACTGATTGTAATTTTCCGTAAAATAGTAAATAATTCCAATGAATTGAAATTGGAAATTGATTGGAAAAATTATTAAGGATAAATTTAAGTAACAAAAGTTTTAAAATACGAGAGTGCAAGCCAAAGGAGATGGCGGGGAATTTTTGAAGTAAAAACTGCAAGTGAAAGTCCTAAGAAAGTTAGGAACCAAGGAGAATAAGTATGTGCAGTGAAGATTAAAAGACATTCTAAATCACACAGAGACGTTGACTAGAAAGAAGTTATTTAAAGGCGGCTTAAGTCCACTGCATTTAAAAGATTTCGCTGATTTCGTTCCGCCACTCCATCGAAGTCCAACAACAATGCATATCCATCAGCGTCGAAGTGGCAGACAAGCCGTGATATCGATCGCTGGTTCGATCAATTGCGGGAGCGTGTAGTGTTAACGTCTGCTATTGTTACTTCTCCAATTGGAAGAACTTACAAGAGCCGGGCGAAAGAAAGACACGATAGAACAAAGGTTGAATGATTTCTTCGGTCGATTTTCTCTTTCTTCGAAGTGATATTCACCGAGGTCAACTGGACAGTTTTCGGGGTCATTTGTTAACATTGTAAAGCGTGCTTGTGCTTACATAATGTGAACTTCACGTTGGAGATACACAAGCACTGTCAGATGAATTGAGTCACTACTTGGGGCACTTTATAAAGATTTCATTAATATGGACATAACAAATATTATTTTAAAAAGATCCTTGAGAAGGAAGGCATGCGATATTTGCGTCTTTTTCAAAGCCTTTCATATTATTTCATGGCAATTCAGACAAATAATAACACTAACAATAACAATAATAATAATGATAATAATGATAACGATAATAATGATATAATGATAATTAACAATAATAATTTAAAACATAAATATATATATATACTGAAAAGATCATAAATAACTATGAGTAGGTAGTTATGAGCTTTCACAGCAATGTGCTGTTGAATAGTTGGGCTACAAAACATGTATTAACCTTCGTAAATGTCATATGTATAAAGCATGGTAAATAAATTATTAAACTTTTAGAAATTTACCTTTCTATATCTCATTCGATTTTCAAAACTATAACTCCACGTCCCTTTCTCTCTCATACCATTTTAGCACCCCTCCTCTTTCTTTATCCCCACTCCCTCTCCCTTCCCCCTGCTTTTCGCTCTTTATCTCAACATCGTCAATTTCATTTCATAAATGTCGCAGTTCCCAAAAACTTTTCAGGAGAGAGACCCAACCCATAAAGGCTTTGTATCCACTGATCTGATACACGAATTTGAAAAATCTTGCTACTTTTCGAACCTTAATCAAAACACTGACAAAAAAAATGACAATTGCAATGTTGACTCGTTATTAACTAATTTTAGGAAGTAATTGTTCTGACAGTAAATGTTGATTAACTCCAGATTCTGGAAACACCCGAATCCCAGCAACAACATCTGCATCAATTCTATTATATTTAAAACGATTTGGATGACTCATTTCTCTTTCATTAAAGTACTTATGACCATCATGTAAATCTGTTATCTCTACTTATGACCATCATGCATTCTAAACATTGTGCCAAAATGTTTTACACCGTAAAAAGATAAATAAAGCCGAATAAAAAGGAGAAGTTAGAAATTCCTGTTTATGTGAAGGGATCATTGATTTGGAAAATAAACATTGTGCCAAAACCTTTAGCACCATGACAACATTATAAAGTCAGTTTCAATAAAATGAAAAACAAAAATAAAGGTTGCCTTTATTTCTTAATGACATACCATGATATTTACACTGTTGGTTTGCAGATCTATATGACTTTAATCATTCTGGAAGAAATGCAATGAGTTATTCCTTGTTATCATGATATAAAAGTTTTATCTTGAATTATTTCTTAGTTTTCTTTTCCAAAAGGTTTTTAAAGGTGTAGGAAAAATTGTTCCTTTCTCATTTTAAGATCTATTTATATCATAAATATCGAAAGAAAGATAATGCATTGCTTTACCTGGTCACCCAAAATTACCATACCGAGGTGTTACAAGTCATGTACAGAAAAAAATTAATGACAATTTAAAATGGGTTCAGAGTGAAGTCTCATTTGAAATGAAAGTTCCAAAATTTAGAACAAAGCAACCATATTGCTTTGATTTCCTCAACCTGACTACCAAAGTAGACAATTCAAATTTAAGGAAGTTAATCTCATCTTCACATTATACATTCTCTACCAAGACATTTAATGAATTTTATCGGGACTTTTGCCTCTATTATTATCGCATAATTATTCCTTTCGTAGTTAAGTCCTAAACGAACGTCACCCCCACTCCAATTACAAATCAAGTCCTCATACAGTCAAAATGAGAGGGGGAAATGTCCAAAAGACAAGTTTTGTGGCAGTTCCTTCTTTGCTGAATAGGAGCCATCTGTCACATTTGTTCTTTCCTGATCGCCAAGAAAGCATGTATATGCTTGTAAGTAAACAACCACGGGACCGATGGCTGTAAATACTCACCGAGGAACTTGGTAATGATGACCAATGCCTTACCAAAGGGCACGAGCGTATTGACTCGGATTCGAACCCGGACCTCCCGGTTAGTACAAGACCACTGATCTACCACTGAGCCATCGCACCACATACCACCAGAAAACACACGTTTTTTATGTTTTTGAAAAAAAATCCCAATAAATTCGCAGCAAATTCCATATCACACAAAACGGTCGCGAATGGCTAAACAAATCCATTTACAATGCCGATAAACTAGTGAAATAAAAACGAGAGTTATTGCTATCTATTCAATTAGAAGATCTGTTTCCAATCGAAGATCTGTCTTCGTATTTTGAGTGCAGAATTCACCTTTCGAGCTTTTACGAATCTTAATTCCTTTCTCCCGCTCCTTTCTTTCAGCAATTCTGTTCCGCATTTTTTTCAAGACATAAAAGGCGCGCGTTCGGTTGATAACGGATTGGAATTTCTCCGTGTTCGTCAGGGTCAACCTCTGCGACAACGGAAGATGATCTGCTTTTAAAATCTGATCCGTGGTCAGTTTGCGGTCGATGAGGATGTCGCTTTCCGTTCTGGATATACCTAGCAGTTTTTTTGTTTTCTCCTTCTCACCATTCCTCATCTTATAATCGAGATCCAGCATGGCATCTGTGAAACGCGGATGCGTCCGTCCACAATAACGTCCAAACATTGATCTTTCATCATCATCATCATCGTCGTCATCGTAGTTGTCAGGTTTTTCATTAAATGGGTCAACGTCGAATGATGTTCGCAGGTCAACTTCAGACCTCGACTTTTTCTTCAAGCTGTTCCGCAGAGCTCGCTTGTACAGGACGTGGTCTTTGAGGTTATCACAGAGGCGTTTCTTGACGGACTGGTATTGCGCTTCCTTGAGTCCCTCCTTGTACTCCAGCTGCTGTCTTCTCCTGGTGAGCTCCCGCTCCTCCATGCTGTTCAAGGTTCCAGCTCGGCTCAGGATCCTGCTGCTGATCTGCTGGAGGGACTGGTATCGGTCGTTCCCGCTCGGGAAGTTACTCTTAAGACGACGTGATGATGACATGGTGTGCTACGATGAGTTCTATGAAGGGCGTGGTAGTAATATTGCGTTTATCAGAAACTTTGTAGAATCTAGATTGAAAAAATAAAGTCATATAATATTATGGTTTCGGGATTTAAAGGGGACGGCGTCTGTAAAATCTTGAATACCAATGGTAAGTAACTTTATAACGTTATGTGAATTAACTAATTTTAACTATTATTACGATGAAAAATATATAATAAAAATAACTCTGTATTTTGTTAACTTAAAAAAAGCGAAGCTCTTCAACCAGCATCTCAAGCCCTGACTAAAATTGATTAAGGATTGATTCAAATTAATTTTCAAAGAAATAGCATGTCTTCACAGGGGATATTACATTTATTTGATCTGATCTGATTTAAAGAAAAAAAAAAAAAAAAAAATCAAAAATTCAATTGGAGATAAGATTTGAAAAAGGTGTGAAATAGGGTGACAATATTTGAGACGCCCCTTTGGATTTAAGCTTAAATCGTAAAATATTCAGTCCAAAAAATATATTGGAAAACAATTGTACAGTAACTGGTTAGTTTAAGAGCGATATGCCTAATTTGAAAGTCAGTATAATTTTGCTGTTACCAAGAGTAGATTTTTATCGAAAGTGAAAGCTCAATCGAAATGATGATTATATCAGTTCATCAAGCACTTATGAGATGCAACTTCTCAATGTTTATAGATAATATACCTAAATTTTAACCCATGATCTATTACAACGAACAATGTTGAAATAATTTTGTTAATGAAATTTTGCTAGAGACACCAACTTACCTCCTCAATGCAAATTAAATCATGGTCACCATCTGTATTTTGTAGTTTGTAATTCAAATCATTGAATATTGACGAACATAGTCCAAAAAACATCCAAATAATACAATCCATCAATGTTTTATTAAAAACATGGCAGCAGAAGCAAATTTAACATTGGCGTATCAGAAGAAACAGGCGGCTGCCATGAATTGCCCGAGTTGTGAATTAATTTTGAGCTCGTGTGCCCATGCCCCACACAAATCTTAATTCATCAGCTGCATTGAAAGATGTTTGTCCCCGTTACGTGGTGCAGAAGACAATGATTGCTTTCGATTTCGATCTCATTATCGATCGGAAACGAAGTAAGAACTTGGCTCGTCTGATTTGTTGACGGTCGGTGTAACATTCGATTGGTTGTTCGAATCAATGGAAAAGCATGACCAAATGTTTGTGTTTGTGTATGTGTAGGGGATGGGCGGGGCCCGTGTGTGCGTGTGTGCGTGCGGGTACGTGTGTAAATTATGTCTAGATGAATGCGATTGGGGAGTAAATCAGGATTCATCTAAGTAAATTGAGAACTCTAGAGAAACAAAACCACAAATATTTAAAGCCAAGACCTGTTTGGATTGTTACACCAGTAGGCCAACGATTATGATAAATTCAATTGCACTAAAGTAAAAACACCAAACATACATGGGTGATTGTTCAATTTATTAATGAAGTTATAATATATAATAAGAAGTTAAAAGCTAGACTAATAATGTCCAGTCCAGGGAATATATATAGGTACGGTATATCCAATGTGGTATGTAAAACGTTTTAAATAAAATTATACTGATATTATTGAGACCATACATTTCCATGGAAAGAAAATAAACCGAACAAAATTAACGTTTCATTCAACGACTGATAAAATGTGTAACACAAAAAGCTGTTTGCCTTTTTACAATGCCAATGTAAATTATTACTGACTGCAAAGTAAGAACACCCCCATCCCTCACTTCCTATCCCATTTGCCTGTGTTTAGGCACCTGGATCATGTACATTGCAAACATAAATATGTTGGCTTATTGTGTGCTTATATGTAAGTCATAAATGAGTTGGTTCTTAAGGCGCTGTACAGTTTTATAATATAAAGTAATATAGATGTATAATGAAGAGTTGATAAAAATGCGGTATACAGGGGTGGGGTAAATATACAAGCACACAAAAACACTTCAATCACATCGGCCTCGCATCCTAACATGCCTAAACAGAATTTAACCTTCTCATTCTTAGTATGACAGTTTGAAGAATATTATAGTAGAAATGACCCCCTCCCCCTTCCCCCTGGAAAGGATCGATCTGATTAGAAACCTATGTATTGGATTATGAATAGAAATAGCTAAACCTTTATTTTGATCATGCTTCATAATGTCTGTAGTCCCATATACCAATTTTGTGTGTGCAGTGTGGGTTCTTAGCACGATAGAGACAATTCCCTGTCATTCTGATCATTTCAAAACCGCACAGTATACATGCATTCTCAATCGACCTTTCCACACTGCTTCCTCTGAGTTTCTTATTTAATCGCATGAGCAGTACTTAAACTTATCTCTAATTCATATCTATCATGATCCGCAGCAAACTCAGAGAAACATCGCTAATTATCACGGGATGTGATTCGGTTTCGTGCGTAGTTGAAAACTCCTGCCAGTAAGAGAACGGTGGTACAGACGAGGGCTGATAGAAGAATGACATTCACGGACGCACCATCTTAAAGGGGGAAAAAGAAAAAAAACATGGTAATAATTTAACAGATTGTTCTGGTGACTTGCTTGTAAACGTAATTAGGGTATCAAAATAACCAACGGTACAACGACAAATAGGATACTACGCTAAATGGAACTGCTAAAGGCCAACAAAGGTTTTTAGTTGTAACAAAAGCTAATCGCTTCAAATTCGTGTTCCCCAATGCTTTGGAAAAGGGGTACTTTTTGCGCGACAAAGTCCAGCCCGAGAATTGTATAAAAGAAAGGGGGGTGTATTTGACTTTTTACCCGGAGATTTCTTTAAAAAGGGGTGTTTTTCTCTCTTTTTCTTTGGATTCCTAATTTTCTTTTAAAGGGGGTTATTAAAAAGGGGTTATAAAATATCTTGAATGTCATAGATAGGGGTTCAATGAGCAGTGTTCCGGATTTAGGGGGGTCTCCAAGGCAGGAAAAGCCAGCGAAAATCCCGCGAAAGGGAGCGGGGGGTTCAGAAATGTTGGCAGTCCTGAGATAGGGGTGCTTTCAAAGGGAGAGAACAAGCATTCGCATACCCTAAATAACAATGGGTGGGGGCGGGCCTAATATGCGTCTTAAGTAGATATTAAAGAGAGAGAGAGAGAGTTGGGGGAGAGAGAGAGAGAGAGAGAGAGGGAGAGAGAGGGGTGGGGGTGTACGAAACGTTATAAAGCCTGTTGCACCACGAATTTCTTCTCGTTGGAGGGTGTCAGTTAATGGGCCACTCTAACAAAAACGGGCTAAAAAATGAAGGAAAAAAAGACATGTAGAATATTTTTTTTGACGGAGGTTCCGAACATGACAATGATTTTTCTTAGAAGTCATCAATAATTCTGGAATCTAGCCTAAAAAATGACGACTCAGAACGCTCAGGAAAAAAGCCCAGTTTCGGAGCTGTATTGCGCATGACGTCACTGCAGGTGCCTCTCCGGTGAAAAGGAGGGTGATTTAGTCATTAAAATATCTTTAAAAAGGCAAACTATGATATTAATTGGGGGAAAAAAAAGAAATTAATCCGAAAAAAATTATGCACTTGATGATCCCAGTACGTTTCTGGCAATGTCGTCATTCCTAATGTAACATTAGTTGTAGGACAAATCGGCATGCCCGCAATAACGTCAAACGCGTCATCAAGGCCACGTGACCGTATTACCTTTTTCCGAGGGGCTAGCCTACCAAGCGTGAGCACTGTGAAAAATGGATGGTTTTTTATCATATTTTGGTCAATTCAGAGATTTTCTGAAAAATCATAGACTGGAATATTAATGAGTAGAGGTGTATTCGTGTTTTGAAAGGCTGTGTTAGTTGGGTTAGAGTGGCCCTTTAATGCCCATTGGCATGCCATGTAACACTGATATCGCGCACATTGTGATTGCAACAATCAAAAGGCATTGGCGTTTAATTACCGACCAATGGGAAAATTGTTATCAGATTCTTGATTGATGCGACCGAAAAAACGTTTCGTGTTTATTAAGCATGCAGCAGGTATTGGAGAAATAAATACCTTTCTGAGGAGCCGCAGCCATCTTGTTAATGAATGGTCCTTGAGAAACAGTATATGGGCCAAGTCCAGTCTCTCGTGTATCGCGAGCTTCTCGTACAGTACGAGAATGACTACAATTTGAGGTACACGCTGATTGGTCAGAATCGTGGCAGATGATGAGGTCACAATGAATGTAGATCTACAAGCAAAGTAATGAAATAGAAATGTAAATTAATAATCATTAAGTATTGTAGGTGCGGATGCATGTTTTTGTTAAAAAGGAGAATACAATTCTAACAAGCAGAAAATAATCACATTTTAAAGTGATCCTTTACCCTACAAGCAAAACAGAAGGAAAAAAATATATGAGATTATTATGGTCTTTTTTGCGTCCTATAGTTAAGAAGGGGTCACATTATTTTATTTGGGGGAGGAGGTTGTGACCCTCCCCCAAATTAAAGAAAAATGAAATAAACTCAATCAGTGAGAAATTACAATGCATTAATCACACATAGTTTTATCTGATAAAGAAGGACGAACATTGACTTTTTTAAAATGAGCATTTAAAAGTGATGTTTTCTATATTGTCACGTTGATTATCAAAATTAGATATCTTACAAGATTCTCATCCCGGGAGAAGGAGAAGGCTTTGAATGAGAAAGCCTGCATGCCAGGCGTCAACAGCGTGTAGACTTTGGTCCCATCTCCTATTGGGCACCTGTGGAAAAGAAGAAAACATATTGCAGTATCTATTCAAGTTAAACGAATTGCGCCCGAGGCGTGACTTTGCTAACATACATCTACTTATTGCTGAATCAGTATGTGACAGTGAAATAGTAAACATTGGTTATTTGTGTTCGGATTATGTAACATGGTCTTGCCATGTCCCCATTGCAATAGGTAACGCTATTGAAATTGCACTCAGTAGAAATCATCGAGATCATGTACGTTATCGTAATATTCATCATAATGCTTGAGAAAGGATTGCGTCACCAATGAACAAGATCACAAGCTTACCCATCATTAATGATGTCACGGCTTACAGGGTCGGAAGGGTCACGTGATGGAGTAGCCCAGCATCGAGCGTTTTGTATCGTATCCACCACGTCTTTAATAGTGACCATTTCGGTCGCCATGTAAATCCTATCATCTATTTCAACCTACAAATAAGAGATTTTTTTAAATACAATAAAATAAAACGAAAAACGACAACATGATCCCTAGGACTTTCGAGAAATCAAGTACATGGGAAATTTCAATAATTTATGTTCGGATTATGTAACTATGTCATTATACTATTCGCACTCTCCAAAATGTGGCACAGTCGGCTATTGAAACGGTATCTGGTTTGAACAAATTCTCTGCGATCGTGCTACAACAAACATGGAAATGACCGCTTGGACATTACCATTGTTAAAAGGCACATGAGCACGTGTTGAAAATGGAAGAAAGAGACACGAGAGTAGACATTAATTAGAGGAAGTTAACAAGAACAAATGAGAACGTTATATTATTAATATTAATATTAAGAAAAGAATAAATGATACTTCAACTAATAACAATGGTGGATTCTTATGTGGCGCACATGTCCGTTAAGGCATGACATTCCTGATGCTCTGGCATGGCCCAGCTGTCAAATTAGTTCACTCCGATTTATAATTCACATTTCACGTTACGCATTGTCAGTTTTGTTTTAACTGTAATAATACAGAGGTATTTTTGTTAGACATCAGTAGGGCCTACATAATTTATATTTCATCACTTTGGTTTTCTCGTAGTTCCTTGTAAATAAAGGACTAAATAAAATTTAAAATGAGGATAAAAAGAGCGTGAGGTAAAACCATAGCTTGTTGGTTATAATCTCCAGAATGTAATACAATACTTAAAGTCCAAAAGAATTGTGGAAACGAACAAGGAACAGAATAAAAAGTCGAAATGAATAAATCGATAGGTAGCGCTCTAGCATTTCGGTTACCTCTCCCTCACCCTCCGCCTAAACAGTGGACATTGTAGTTCACTTTTCATGTTAAAAGACCTATGCCTCTCAACGTCCGAGTGGATTCTAGCCTTTAGACAAGGCCTCATGT